GGGCGGAATGCGCTCGGTCCGGCTCGTCCTTTCTGGAGCTGAGAGATACGCCTGTGGAGACTCCACCATCCGCTCGGGGAGGCGTCGTGGACCTCTTGTCGGGAGGAAACTGGTCTCCAACCACGGGCGCTCCCTCAGCAGCACTCCCACCTGTCGCCACAATGCTGTTGCCATGGGGGGAGCAATGGAGAATGAGGCGGTGGCCGACGGCCCCGGCGACTGGCAACGTGATAGCTTGAGCTCGTGCCGCCACAGGTTGAGCCCCAACCGCTCGAGCATCGACAGATAGCGCCCTCGAGATACTGTTGTCAGGGGAGGAGCAATGGGATGTCAGGTGGTGGCCGACAGCCCCGGCGACTGGCAATGCGATAGCTTGAGCTCGCGCCACGCGCTGATAGGAAGGAGGAGCTGCACCTCGACTGTCCAACTGGGGGGCGGGCGGCTGACGAAAGTCTTCGGGATTAAGGGAGTGCCCAGGGAGTTGACTGGTCGTTGCATCGCCGTCGGCGCCGAACAGTCCGCCTGGGGCGCCCCAAGCTGCAGGATCGTTCGATGCTGCCGTCTCGCTGGGAGCTCCTCGGGCTGAAGGCCCATTCTCTACGTGCGCAACGCTGTCAACTCCAGGAAGGGCGGCGGGCGCGCGGCGACCCCCGTCGCCGCTCGTGGCCACGTGCCCAGTGGCGCCCCCGACAACCATTGGCGCCGCCTCCGATTCTCGAGCTGAAGGCTCTTCACCTCTGCGGTTGCTCGATGTGTCAGTCTCCGGTTCTCGAGCTGAAGGCTCGTCCTTTCTGAAGCTGTGAGATATGCCTATCGAGACTCCCCCATCCGCTCGGGGAGGCGTCGCGGACCTCTTGTCGGGAGGAAATTGGTCTCCAACCACGGGCGCTCCCTCAGCAGCACTCCCACCTGTCGCCATAATACTGTTGCCGTGGGGGGGACAATGGTGCATGAGGCGGTGGCTGACGGCCCCGGCGACTGGCAAAGTGGTAGCTTGAGCTCGTGCCGCCACAGGTTGAACCCCAACCGCTTGACGTTGATAGGAAAGAGGAGCCGTAGGAACGTCTGTCTGCCTGTCTTTGATGCACGAAACACCGTCCCTTCCAGGATGCACGTCCGCAACGTTCATGGACCACTGAGCTCTCGACCCCATCCCAACGCCCTGGGCCCCAGAGCTCTCGACCCCATCGCCGCGTCCAGGGCCCCTGAGCCTGCCAGGTGCGCGGCAGCTAACGGCTGCACCGGCAGTGGAAGAAACTACAGGGAAGGACGCGCCGTCGTCTGAAGTGACTCCAGGTTGGCAGCTAACGGCTGCACCGGCGGTGGAAGAAACGCCAGGGAAGCACGCGCCATCGTATCTCCCAGGACCCACAACCGAAGTGTCATCGAGTCCCTGAGCTCTCGACCCCATCCCATCACCCGGGACCCCGGAGCTCTCAACCCCATCTCTGAGTCCAGGAGCCAGGAGACCGCCAGGTGTGCGCCCGGCGGGGACCCCTTCGCCGCCATCCACAAGGGGAAATCCAGGTTGGCAGCAAACGGCTGCATCTAGATCCGCCGGTGGGGCGCTGCTCCTGCGGCTGCTGCTGCGGCTGTTGCTGCTGCTGCTGCCCTGCCTGCTGTCTTGCTGCTGCGGCTGCTGCTGCTGTTGTCGCTGCGGCTGCAGCTGCCGCCGCGGGGGGTCGGCGAGGGCCGCGGCGCGGCGGCGGCCGCCGCAGCTGCTGCGCCAACGGCCGCGCCGCCGGCGGCCGCGGGGACGGCCGCGGCGGCGCAGGCCGCGGGCACCGCCCCCGCGCTGTCCTGCTGCAGTGGCTGCTGCGGCAGCTGCGGCTGTTGCTGCTGCTGCGGCAGCGGCTGCAGGTGCTGTTGCCGCTGCTGCTGCAGGTGCTGCTGTAGCTTCTGCTGTTCGGCGGCCGCCGCCGCGCCAGCGGCCTCGCCGCGGGCAGCCGCGGGGGCGGCCGCGGCGGCGCGGGCCACCGGGCCCCCGCCGCCGCCGCCGGCAGAGGGGAGCCGGCAGCGGCGGCAGCAGCGCCCGCCGCGACAGCGGCCGCCACGCCAGCCACGGCGCCGCCGGCCGCCGCCGCCCCGGAGGGGATCCGGCGGCGGCGGCAGCATCGGCGGCGACGGCAGCGGCGGCAGCAGCGGCGGCGGCCGCGCCGCCAGCGGCCCCAGGGGCGGCCGCGGCGGCGCCGGCCACCGCGCCCTCCGCCGCCGCCGCCGCCGGCGGGGAGCCCGCAGCGTCAGCGGCAGCGGCGGCGGCGGCGGCGGCGGAAACCACCGCCAGCCAGCCGGCCGCCTCCGACGGCGGCGGCGGCAGCGGCGGCGGCGGCAGAGGGCCGGAGAGACCAGGGGCGGCGTCCCGCCGCGCCGCCGCCAGCCGCTGGCGGCGGCGCAGCGCGGCCCCCGAGAGGGCAGACATGGCCCGGGCCCGAGAGCGCACCTGAGCGAGGGGCGGGCTCGAGCCGAGACGGCTTGAGCCAAAAGGGCTTGAGCCAAAGCGTGAACAACTACTGCACTGTGGATGCGTGCAATAAGTGGTGCAAGCTATGTGTAAACGATGTGGTGCGGCCAATGTGATGCAGGCTATATGGTGTAACATGCGCGGTGCAAGCTATACGATGCAAGCAATGTGGTGTAAGCCATGTGATGCAAGGTATGTTTACCAAGCTACGTGGTGCATTCTATGTGGTGCAGGCTACGTTGTGTAAGCTACGGTGGTGCAAGCTATGCGGTGCAAGCCCTGTCGAGCAACTCGCGTGTGCGGTGTGAGTTCTGTGGTGCAAGCTGTGCGGTGTACGATGCGTGCTGGAGGCTGTGGCTGAGGCTCTGTGGCACACGTCTTCCTGTGCGGGCTGAGTGGTGCAACGCGTGCAGCGCAGGCTGTGCGGCCGCCAAGCCCACGAAACGCCTCGAGGCACCCACGGGCGGCCACGGGCGCGCACCCGGCGAAACATTGGCACAACCGCCCAGTGCCCGAGGCGCCCACGAGGCGCCCACGAGGCCACAGGCGAACACCGCGGCCACCGACTGGGCACTGGGCAAACCTCCGCCGAACCCAACCAAGCCCTGAAGCACACAAACTAAAGCCTTCTGTCGGGGAGACGTAAGACTCGGGTACGGGGGACTCGGGTTGGCCTGACGGGGGCCATCATAAAAATGACAGAGACCCAATATGAAATTTGACGCGGACTCCCGCTGCAGACATCGCACGAAACCGGGACCGTCAAATCAAAGACGCGCTCGTCAAAAAAAAGTCGCAAAACCCGAATGCCGGCTTACTCGAGTCTTACGTTTCCCTGAATCTCTTTGGGGAACAAGTAGTTTAAGAGCCCCCAGTGCACGCACCGCCTAGGGAGTACACATACTTTCGCATACGGCGACTCTGGCCAGCAGCTTCCTGGGCCCCTACATCGGTGCACCAGGTGTCGTAAGATCGGACCCCAGGATTACCTGGGGTCCACTCTGGCTGGCCGTGCACACAGGATCGATCCCTGACGGCCCCCAGGGTCCGACACTTCCCCGCCTGAGGCGAAATCGAGGAGGAGCATCCGGCGCGATGTTTACACACCTCACCAAAAACCCGAACTCGCTGCTGTGTCCGTCGATCTCCAATGGCAAAGGCACGCGCGAACACACCTCCCCACAGACGCCGTCGCAGACTCTTCGAAACCGAATGAGGGGCGATTCGGGGCCTCCGGTACCGCCGTGACGGCTGTCGAGATTGATCAGGGGAACATGGCTGGGTTGTGGGCCGGAGGCCTCGCAGACGCATCTTGGGGTCTTGAAGTCTCTCGGAGCCCGATTAGGGGCCTCTTGGCTGGAGCCTTCCTGTGGGCCTCCTGGGGTCTCTTAGGTTTTTCTTTGGGCCCTCGGTTGGGCCTCCTCTCCTGGGGGCATCTTGGGGCCTGTCGGCGACCTCGGGGGTCATCTTTGGGCGGAGGGCTCGAAATGGCAGCTCGGACTCACCCTCGTGGGCTCATCTTGGGGCCCTTTTTGTCCGTCTTCAGGGCTTCTTTGTCCGTCTTGGGACCGTTTTGAGCCGTAGGGACCCTCCTGGTACCCTCTTATGCAAGCTCGGGGCGATTTGGGAGACCTGTTGGGTCGTCTTGGACCTTGTTGCAATCAAGAAGCAAATCTGCTAAAATGAAAGTTTTCCTGAGGGAATGAGGCGAAGTCTGCTTCTCGGGGCCCTCTTGGGGGCCCTCTTGGAGCGATCTCGACTCATCGTGGCCGCCTCTTGGGCCGTTCGAAAGGCATCTCTTGGGCCGTCGGAGATCCCTGAAAGGCGTCGCGGCGGTGACTCGTGGCCGTTTCGGGCCGTCGTGACGGCTGCCTGGTGGCTTTCGGGAGCGATGTTTCGGAGGCTGCCAAGAGGGGGGCGTCCAAGAGAGGGGGGGCGCAACTCATGACCGGCGACATGTGCGCGGCTCAGGGAGGGGCCCGCGGACGTAATGAAATAAGAAGAGGCGCCACGAAATCGGGGGAAATATCATGACCTCCGCCCTGATCTCCCCCCCCCCCCCAGGCATCACCCCCCCTCCTGGCCGCCCCCGATCTGGGCCCCCCCCACAGGGGCAGGCCGGTCCCCTGGCCCTCCCGTTGGACGTCGGGGTCGGCGGCCCCAGGGCCCCTCGGGCCCTGTCCCGCGTTCCGTGTTTTAGGCTGCTCCCTTCGGGTCTCGAGGGGCAGATCCCCAGCATTTTTTTTTTCGTCCACTGGTTTTTTCGGTGTGGGAACGGCACGCATTCCATGGCAAAACAATCAGCACCCAAGAAACCCAGGGCACCCTGGAGGCAAGCAGGGTGTTTCTTGGCATGGGCCTCCACTGTATGAGATCGTTTGGCGTGGTATCGTTGGCACAGACGCGAGCTGCTGAGACAGGGATGCGCCTTTTCAGCTGGATGTTGGCTGTTCAGCCGAGAGGCGGCTCGGAAAATTCCGTATTCATCGGATGGTGGGGATCGGGACGGGGATGGGGATAGGTTGTGCGATGATGAGTCCTCCACGCCGCAGAAGGCGTCGAAGGCGGGCTTGCGGGCCCGGCACGCGTCCTCGCTCTCCCCCGCGCGCGCGTTCGCCTCGCCCCACGTGTCCCTCCGCCAATGGAATTTCGCGTGGAAGCGCGCAGTCTTGCAGCCGCTGGGCAGCCACACGAAGCAGCCAGCGCTCCTTGGCCGCACTGGCGGCAGTGGCCGCAGCGACAGCATGACGGCGTCCTCCACGCCGCAGAAGGCGTCGAAGGTGCGCTTGCGGGCCTTGCACTTGTCCTCGCTCTCCCCCGCGCGCGCGTTCGCCTCGCCCCACGTGTCCCTCCGCCAATGGAATTTCGCGTGGAAGCGCGCGGCCTTGCAGCCGCTGGGCAGCCATACGAAGCAGCCGGTGCTTCTGGGGAGTAGTGGCGCCGCCTCAGGCAGCGAGTCGCTCACGTGCAGCATGACGGCGTCCTCCACGCCGCAGAAGGCGTCGAAGGCGGGCTTGCGGGCCTGGCACGCGTCCTCCCTCGCTCTCCCCCGCGCGCGCGTTGACCTCGCCCCACGTGTCCCTCCGCCAGTGGAATTTCGCGTGGACGTGCGAGGTATTGCAGCCTCTGGGCAGCCACACAAAACAGCCAGCGCTCCTCGGCCGAGCTGGGCCGCAGGCGAGACTGGGGCCGTTGCACATGACTTCTGGGCACGAGGCGGCCTGCGTGGTGTTCTCCTCCTGCGCCTGTGCTGGGAGCTCCGCCGAGGTGTCATCGACGAATGGCATGGCGGTGACGACGCCCGGCAAGGTGCGGCTTTTCTGTACGGCCAGGGCCAGCCCAGGTGCCGCCGCCATCTCGGGAGCTGGTGGGGGGACCCGACTGCCGAGCACCTCCTCCACGGGTTCGCCGGGGCCGGAGGCGCGGGAACCGGCGTCGGACACGACACCGCTGGCGGTGCGCATGCCGTCAGGATCGTCGGATTCCTCCTCATGCTGCCCAGCACGGCATGGCCTTGTGGTGCACACCGAGGACCACAGCTCGTCGGCATTCAGGGCCTCCTGCACGTCCTCAAACGTGGCGGACTTGCTCAACGTCGGGAACCTCAGGGGAACGAAGAATGACAGAGACATAACAACTCAGAGGTCCGCGCGGATTTCTTGGATCCGCGCCAGACCCCCTCCCTGGCGCGCGGAGCGCGGGGCGGCGCAGGCGGCGCCGCCAGAGGGGGCCCAGCGCGGATCTAAGAAATCCGCGCGGAGCGCCAAAAGTTTATGTTTATGGCGTTTTTTCTTCGTTGAAACCTGTCGTGGTAATACGCGAGGTCTCGGCGCATGATCGAGTCCACTTGGCGGTAGCATTCTTCGCCTGCGGCGGCGAAACGAAGGGGCCAAGACTGCGGAGGCCAGCCTGTCAGAGGGGGGACGGGGCTTCTCGGAGACGGAAGCGGTCTGCCAAACAGAAGCAATCCCCCACCAATTTTGGGTCGGGCATGTCCTCCGACAGGCGGCTTGTGGAAGAAAACGTGGCGACGTCGTCAGAACATCGTCCCCCTGACTACTTCTGGACTGCTGTTGGACATCCCCCCTCTGGAGGGACGTGCCCCACCTAACACCAATCCGGAGAGCGCGGAGCCGCCTCTCGTCCAGCCGGCTGCCGGGCAGACCTGGCCCCGGCCCGGAGGTGTGCTCCGGAGGCCGGCCAGGGAGGCCCCCCCAAGTGTCCCCGCTGGAAGCCAGACGAGGCCCACAAGGGACCTGCCGAAGAGGCCAAGACATCACGAGCTACTGGCTTTCTCAGTTATGGCTTACAGTGGAGGCCAGTCCATAAGAAACCTTCCACAAGAGACCCAACCCTGAGACCCCAGGACGTCCATCGACTTTTGGTGTGGGAGCGTCACGCTTCCCATGGCAAATCCATCGAAACCCAAGAAACCCGGGGCACCCTGGAGGCAAGCAGGGTGTTTCTTGGCATGGGCCTCCACTGCACTCTCAACCCGTATCATCAGGATGCGCTGTAAGGATGCAAGGGCCTTTGAAGGCCGTTTCGAAGCTTCTCGAGCGAGGCGCAGCCAGCGAAAGAGGCCAAGGATGGGCGAGGAGGCAACGACGCAGGGGGTACCCCTGGGGGGAAGGTTGCCCGTGCTTATTGTGCGGGTTGACTGTGAGGGCACCCCTCCAGCGCTATGACTGTTCTTGACCATCGTGCCAACTGTGCTCGGCGGCGAGCGAGGGGGGGAGGGCGAGAAGAGAGAGGCCTTCTCAGAGGGCTCGGAACTCCCCCCCTGGCCTTCTGAGGAGTCTTCTGAGCCTCCCCCGAAGACACAGAACACCTCTCAGAGGCGCGAGGGCCCCTGAGAAGCCCCGCCGCCTTCTGAGCAGGCCTCCTCCTGCTCGCTCCCCCCCCTCTCGCTCGCCGCCGAATGGTTGCTCTTGACCCTCGTGCCAGCTGCACCCCTCGTGCCAACATTAATTCACGCATTGCTTTGCCCCTCGATCTCGCTCTCGGGGGCGGCCAAGAGGGGGGCATCCAAGAGAGAG